TGTATGAAATTTCTCAAATTTCTTAATTTCGACATTACAAAGTTCACAAAGCCCTTACTATTTAGTACCAATAAATCCCATTTTTGACGAGCTTTCATTTGGTATAAAATTCATTATATGGTTTCCCTGAAATAATATTATTTCCTATGGGGTACCATGCCGGCTGCTAACGCCCATATATATAATTGATTAAAATATCGATTTTTGTAGAGAAAATAAGAGTTATGTTTAGAAAAAACCATAAATCTGTCCCAGAGTTGAAAGCATTGCACTAATCTTGGATTAATTCTTTTCACCCTACATTTTTTGATAAAAATAAATCTTTTTCAAAATACTGAAATGAGTATTTGTGTTGACATTGGTGGAGAGTTGAACAAGAACTCCCACACCCTCAAGATAGCGCGGATTTGAGTATTATACTCATGTATATCTACGTTCCAAATATTGAACGATCCATAGCTACGACCACTCGTATGGTGGCTGTCACATTGTTAGTACAATCTAGATCCACTCTCAACATGTTTTCTTTATTAAAGTAGATTGTCTTGAATTGTTTATTGAGATCCTTCTGAATTTATCGATTTCAAAATTGTCTTCATCTCACGATCGTTTTGATGAATGTATTTTTTCAAAAAAAAAACACGATTCAAAATCCAAACGTTGCTGGAATTGTTTCTTTTCTTTGACAAATATCTGTACGTGCACGATCGAATATATCTAATTAAAAAGAATTAATCCTAAAATAATCTGACATATTCGAAATAATCAGCCCGGTGTATTGATTGTCTTTGAATGCTAACAAAAATGAGTAGCACTCTCAATCGTATTATTATTTGTATAAAAAAACACAACAATCAATACCAGTCATCACCATCATACACTTTACATGTTTTCCCAGGCCATTCGAACCTGGGCCACCACTTTATCTTGGTATTTCGAATGTAAAGAATTTTTAGTGTCTATTGGAATAGAAGACGATGATTATGATGTGGATTATTACAGATGATAACTCACTGTATTAGTTTGTAAAGCATTAGCTAAATATTCTCGCCCTTTGTCTGTAATTGGATTTTTTCCAACATTTAACTCAATGAGTGTCTGGATTAAATCATATAGACAAACTTTCTGGAGTAGAAAAATAATAGTTATTCACCTGGTTTCGAGCTAGAAGGTTTACGAGATATTCTTTTCCTTCGTCTAGAATTTCATTTTTTGAAAGATCCAGTTTGATGAGTGTCTATTTCAAAAGCATTTCAATCGGAGACTTGTTGAAAGATAGAATATTACCTTATTAGTGTGTAATGCATCTATCAGTTGTCGTACTCCAACTACTCCAATATTATTCGCGTGAAGGTCAAGCTTAGTAATTGTCTACAAATAACAAAACATGAATAATCGTGTGAAAGAAATGAGAAAACAACTCACAGCATTATCTCGTAAAACATTAGCTAGATATTGCATGCCTTCATCACCAAATCGATTCTCACCCAAATCTAGCTGAGTTAGAGTCTCAATGAAAATAAGCATATATTAAAACATCATTTCGTCATTATAGTGAAGAATACTTTGTTGCTCTGCAGCATATCACACAAATATTGAAATCCTTTTGGTCCGATTTTATTTTGACATAAGTCAATATAGGTAAGTGTCTGAATGAAATTATGCAGATAAATGTAAAAACAAATATCAATAAAAATGATGGTCAACCTGATTTTTGCTGAGCGCATCAGCCAATAGTTGTGCTCCTTGATCTTTAATATAATGAGCTTTGAGATGTAATCGAATAAGTGTCTGTTTAAAATAATCAAGTAAAGACAAAAGATGAATAGATTTTTACATTATTGTTTTGTAATGCATCTGCAACATATCCTGCTCCTATCTCTCCCATCTCCCATCCTGAACGTTCACATGACAGACGAAGTTCAGTGAGTGTCTATTAAAAATTATGAATACATGTACAAGAAGAATCGATCGAAATGTTAGTTCAATAAATCACCTTGTCATTTCGTATTGCAAATACACCTTGAACAGCTTTATTGAGGCCACTATTACCAGGATTCTCACATTCCAAGGTAAGTTTTCTGAGTGTCTATGTATTAGCCTTAGTTTGAGGATGACATATACAGAGAAAAAGAATTTTACTGTGTTTATTCGAGCAATGTCGGCCAAATATTTTGCTCCTTCATCTTCGATATCCGTGTTTTTCAGACAGAGTGTGGTTAATGTCTGTATGAAAAAAATGGAGCATTTTGTAATATAAAGACAGAAATAACTACTGAATTTTGTCATAATCCATCAGCAAGATATTTTAGTCCTGTATCTTTGATACGACTCAACGTCAAATCCAGTGAAGTAATTGTCTACGAAAAATTATCAAAATATGAATAAGAAAAATTAGAAAAAATTGAATAGATTTTACTTTGTTTTTTCGTAGTAAATCAGCGATGTATTGTGCTCCTTGATCTTCAATGTAATTAAAGCTTAGATCAAGTCTAGTAATTGTCTATACTAAAGTATCATGAAAATGAAGTAAATTTCATTCGTATTCACCGTATTGTTTTGTAATTCGTAAGACAAATGTTGTATATCTCTCGGCCATAAAGTTGTCCTTGTATAACAAGAATTAAGATTCACTGCAGTAAGTGTCTATACAGAAAAATTAGTTTGAAACGATAAAATAAACATTCTATGTTGTCATGAATCTTGTTAATTGTGTGGTGTTACACGCAATAGAATAAACTCTGCTCATTTATTAAATGAGCATCTTTATTTTCCATTGAATAACTTTTGAGTTAAATATACTATTAGAGATTATATATTGATACATTAGATTATCATTTCTCCTTTCTTTAAAAACTCAATCTGAACTCTCACGTTCCATTTCCGTAGAAATTATTTTTTAAATATGTTGAAGAAATATTTCGATTGTCTGTGGATCACTTCACTATTCAGGAGATTTCTTGAAAGCAACTCAGGAAAATTTCCGAAACCCTAACAACAAACGGATTCGTGTGCTCATGTAAAAATTGCTTTTCATAACTTCATATTTTTAATCAGTTTCAGAATCAAATAATTATATGTTTTTCAGTTCATAAACAAAGGATTACCGTCTGTAAGAAAATACATCTCTTGTTGATCAAAACATTTTTATGAGGTGTGACAATGTAAGATTCTTTTCCAAAATTTAAGCTCTGTCATCTTGGTTTGAACTCATTATGGAAGTTAATCTGCTATCATCTCCAATATACTATCGTAAATGCATGGATATTTACCGAAACATTATATTTCATCGTCCATCAATCCTTCTTTTTCTGATTTGTTCACTACTCGAACAGCTTACCTTTAGTTGAGCAACTTCCATGTCTTCTTCTCCCACAGTTATACGTCCAACCAATCGATAATTAGTATTGATCGAAGATAACTCACATCGTAGTGAACCTTCAGAAAATCTATGTATACAAACGGGCGTTGTATAGATTCGGAAGTATCCCCAACCTATCACATAGTCAACAGTAACAAACCAATACTTGTTCTCGATCCAAAATGGTCTTTCAAACGGAACGATGAGTAAGTCAAGAGTAGGAACAGTTTCTTTTATTTGGTGCATATTATACGTGAAAAAAAATTCGAATTTCTCGAGTAGAGGTAGTTTAGCTGAAATAAGATTTTCCCAATAGTAACCATCCACTTTTGAATCGAATTTGGTTCCAGTTGAGACAAGCTTGAGATGTGTTAGTGAAGGCATTAATGAGAATAGATCTTCGAGATCTTTTTCAAATTGTTCACATCGATATAAGGTCAAAGAAGTCACTTGTGCATGAACTATAATGTAAAAAAACCATAGAAAATATATATTCACGAAAGAATCTGTTTTCTGAATTATATGTTTAAAAAGACTAAATACTCTTTTTTTGATGAACAAATTTTTAAGGTTAAAAACAATCGATTGTATGAGAATCTTTCAATGAGAAATTAGCATATGCATACTGAAAGCATTTGTCCGTTCAATTATAATTGTAAATCTTTTTCTTCTATTTCGACCAAGAGAACAAAAGTTGATGATAGAATACCATATGCAACATAAATATTACGTTTATGATTCTAAACGAAGATGGTATTCGATCAAGCATAAATTGTATCCCATCCTTACGATATATGCCAGTATTTCGTCGAAGGTACTAATCTGTAGTCTCATCTTTCTTTGATTTTGATCAAAATCTAATTTCAGCTTCGCTCTAAAGTTTTTGTTTGCAGCATCTATCGTTTGTTGCCCACAGGAAGTAACACAGAAGCAATGTTTTCACCAGGATCAATCACTATCTACAGGAAAATGAGCCAAATCTGTTGGTGCGCATTTGCGGAACTTCGACTCGGTGAAAATCAGCAAGCTCCAAATCGATCAGAGAAATGCTATACTTTGAGACTTGAAATATTCTCTACAAAATAGATTGCCACGAAAACAACGTTCACACTCTCAGAACTTTGTCAAAGAACATTTTATAATCCATGGGGATGACATTATTTAACTACAATCGAACGAGCTTTTTTACCTGAAGGCTTTTCTGACGTATGATGGTCTGAAAATGACGTTTGTTGATTATTATCATCATCGTTGTTGATACAATGACGCATAATAAATATTTTTAGATGAGGCAAATGACTAAGAATAATACGGTAATTGACATTCTTACATTCATCGATAGTTAGATGCTTGATTGGACATTGAATAATTGACCATGATGTCAAACTTATATTAAAATCAAATTCTTTTAAGAAGAGTTTTCGAAGATTCAATTTAGCGATTGCTGGTAGAATTAATGAAAGCATCTTGATATAATCCCATGAACGCCTTCTTGAACCGATTGAAAGTGTTTCCAAAGGGAGACTGGCAATGTGCTCTAAGATTTTCTTCAATTCACTATCGAATATGTCATGAATTAATAATGAATGTAGTTGAGTAAATTGATCTATTTTAAAATGTGAGAGAAAATATTCGATTTGACTACGATCTGAATAGCCTCCAAATAGAATAAGTGACCTAATCATATCGGGTTGAATAATACGAGAAATAAAACGATAGTCAGATTCTTTGATGGAATCACTGTTGAGTCTGAATACGCTAACTGTATTAGTCATTACATAAAATTGTTTACAAACATAACGTAATGAACGAAATGTTGTCGAAGCATTAACATAATAAAATATTTTATGTAGAAGTTCGACAGGTAAATCAAGAAGTGATATGTTCTCCATGAAAAAATCCTAATGAAATGAATGATATCTAAAATAAATGAATATTTTTTTATTAATTATAGTTTTATATGCAATGAACAGTGCAGTGATGAACTCTTTCACTCGTACTTTCGCATTTAGCAGCATTAATCACGTCGAAATTCAATTGATTGCTTTCTGCTATTTTATTCCAATAAAAATTTGTTTACTCAATCCCTACAAGAGTACTAAGTAAGAAGTGACATGATCTCATTTTTTGAAGATAATCATCAATATTTGGTTGTCTAGTAAATCATTGTTAATGGAAAAAACCATGTGATTGAAAAAATTTCAAGAACTTCTTTTATATGTAAAGCTGAGGAAATCATCAAGGATACAGCAATTGGATAAAAAAGTACAAAAACTCTTATCGTGTTTCGTTTTTAGTATATCATCAAATAAGAAATTGATGTATTGATCAGTGAAAGTGCTTTTAAAAATCTTATTGTCGATCCTTTTCAGTCTATTCGAACAACTTATCTAATTCATGATATTCTAATATCTCAGGAACTCGAAGAAAAACTAGAAAATCATCTGTTATTTTTTCTCGCACACATCCTACACTATACAATTATAATCACGATAGTTTTGTTCGAAATCTTACCTATTTGAGTAGCACATTTTTTCTAGGATATCGAATTCAATGCAACGAATGTCTGATATGCATAACAACGTATTCATTCGCACCTGTATAACTTGTCTAGGTGCTTCATTGAACTGAAGTTGATGTACAATCATTTTAACTATAGTGCATGTCTTTCTATATTCTCTCATGTTGTTGCTAACTCATTCTTCTCGTGTAAAGAATCATCTTTTTTTTTAAAGCAATTTGAGTATTATCTTCGATTTTAACATTTCTAATGATTTTGTTAGAATGGTCAATAAAATTAGAAAAATTTATGTTCTTCTGTTGACATTAAACGAAGCTATACCTTCAATTTTTTTCCGTTAGACATTGCAGAATACAATCAAAAGCAGTCATATAGAATGAAAACTCCATGCTTGTAATTTTTTTTTTCGATCTGAAATTCATTCGAAAAGAGTAAACTATTCAAGAAGATTAAAAATGACGTTTGTAGAGAATTTCTTATGTAGGATATTTTATACCTTCATTAAAAACGTCTGAATTCTAATTACAAAAATGTTTCTGACAAGCTAGATTGTAGAACAAAGTTTTCTCTACAAAATGAACAATTTCCTTTGTTTTCCACATATTATTAACCAAATCATCAGAATCTATTGTATTGTAAATATTAAAATTCTCGAAAAATGATTATTTTGAATAATGTTATCTCAGTTGCAGAATAACATTTTGAAGCCTACTTTAGATTTAGACTCTTTTTAGGATATAACATGTTACTCTTCTAAGAAATTGAACATTATAGAAAAAAAGTTATTTTTCATAATACAAACGACATGTTTTATCGATTTAGAATTTTTTTTACAGATAATTGGTCATAGGTTCGAGTCAAGTTCGAACGATACATTTTAAAAGAGTATCGAATTCTGCTTTTACCACTGTAGTTTCAATATTCTTCAGTTATAGTCATCTACAGATGTGATTTTCGGTCGTATTTGAAAGTTTGATTTTATCAAATGAACTTTAAATAAAAAAAACTCTAAATCTATATTTAGAAATATTGTGAAATTCTCATTCTACTTGACTACTCTTAAATGTCTCCGATAACATTTGTATCGAAGAAAATTGCAAATACATTTTGTGTGAAGTCTTCTACATACAGTTTCAGGGTTAATATTTCATAGAATTTATACATGTTAGCATTTCAATGGAAAATCATCTCGTGTATTTTCAGATAAATATTAAAAGTTAGTTGTATCCAGTACTGATTCAAAACCAATGAATTTTCTTTGTATAAACGTACCGATACAGTTAGATTTTTAATCCATTTTGAATGAACAGTTAAATGATTTTCGATGCTTCTATCTGCTCATATCTTCACTATCTGTATCCGATGCAATCGATTTGAAGATCTTCATCTTTTTATTTTTGGAGAAGATAATATCTGTGCATATAAATATTCAATTACTTTTTCCATAGTCTTTCTATCGAATGTGTAAAAAGTGGATTAGACTGAAAACGTGCAGAAAGCATCATTGACTACAATTACAGTTCTATTTACAAAGTTTCTAGTCAACGATGTTTCCTGGCAGTCTAATGTGCTTTCAAAAAATTCAATGGAAATAATATGCCAAATAACACTTGGAAACCTTTGGATTTATCCATTAATGAAAAAGATCTCAACACAGAACGATTATTTAATAGTTATAATGGATTAATGAAACGAAAAATTGACTATTTGCTGATAATCACTTGCTCGTTGATCGAAGAAAAGATCTCCTGTTGTTTTCTATTTCTACGCTTTAACTTGTTTCTTTTTCTCAAGAACGTTGGGAAAATCAACTGCTTTTTATTTACCCAAAGTAGTTAATCATCTATGGGTGGAACTCTCGAAAAAATAAAGTTAAAAAACAAAGTTTTTAATATATAAATATAGAAAGATACATCTTAAGTTTACTTTACCAATAAAATAAGGTTGAGCTACGTCATCTAACTTGATAACGTAAAGTTAATTTACTATCGCGAGATACGCAACATAATAATCTTATGTTGAGATCGCAAATGTAGCTGACCAACATTTTTGGATCATAAATTGTTAAACCTAATCTGCTTCAATTGTATAATATTCAACTAAAATTTCCTGAAAATGCGACTTCAAGATTGATCCTCAACTTTCATATAATTTAAATTAAGAATTACCAAAAGCATTATTTTATTGTTTTACCTGTTCTGTTTCTCTTGCAACAATAAAAAAAGCTTATTCATGGAGATATTCATATGTAAATATTTAAAAATACGTCACTCTCCCTTTCCTTATATTCGAAGAGTGACAACATATTGTGTTCTTTTAATAACGGGAAAAAAGCTACGAAACCCTTGTTTTTGTTGTTCGAAAGAATATAAGATACTTTTTTCGAAAAAAATGCGCGCAGTTTATTTTTTTTCACTACAAGAGATTTACTTGAAAAATAAATGAAAAGTGTAATGATTGGATCTCATTCTTCAGCATTTAAAGAAAATTTATATATGCGATAAAAAAATCAAATAATTCATATGCAGAGGGTAGCTTCTGTATAAAAGTGACTCGATAACGTCGAATTAATGTCGTCAGTAAACTACAAATCGTATTCACAGCATATTTCTAGATATAGATAGTCTCTCTCTCCAATTCCGTATCTTCGAAATGGGCCTACGAAGGTATTGAAAACAAATGTTTTTGAAAAGATAAATATCTTAAAGTGCATCCAATCCTCTCGTCGAATTGTTAGCCCTGAAGATCGAAACATCATATCCTATTTCTCAAAATTTGTCTTGACTTATTATGTACTTAAAAAGCATTCTTTCTTTTTGTTACATTCATATCTTTACATTTTTATCACTTTTAAATTGAGTAGATGTGGGTGTTTTTGTGTTAGACATGATTATCGAAGATATAAATCGAATATAACATGTTTTAAGACAATATATTAGAGATGAGTTGCTTGGTACTAATTATGTTTCCTATTACGAAAGATTCTAACGATATAATTAACTGTATTATATACGAATATAATCCTATATTTCAACAAAATTCAATATCGTTATCTTGTTTAATTTCATATTATTCATTAATTAACAAAAAACGATTCAAGCTTATCATCTTCAAACTTTTTTCCTTATTACAATAGAAGAAAAGCTTAAAAAAAAGAAGAACAATAGTCTAAATAAATTGTTTCTCATGAGTTGAGTGTGAGAGTGTTCCTTCCTCATTTAAAACCACATCCCTCTGTCGTCACCTCTGTTTTTTAGGGATTAATGATCGTCGGATAGTCGAAATGGTGGATCCGCTAGTGAACAATCTTCCTAAAACCATTATTTTCATTGGAAAACTTTGATTAAAATATTTGTGGAAGTGATACGAAAAAATAAAAATTACTTATTTTCAAATATCTTTTAACAATCGGCCAGACCTTCTTAATTCTTCTACTTTTTATTTTTCTAGCTTGGATAACCAAAATAAATTATTTTCCAAAAGACCAGCCAAAATAAAAGCATGGCTCAACTTTGACTTTCCCATATCAATAACTTGTTCTAAGCTATAGCCTTGTCCTAAATGATCCTATCCATCAAAATCTAATAATGCCATAGGTTTTTTGTGTTTATCATTTGTATCTCCGCAACAATATTTTATGTAAATATCATTTAATTTTTTGTATGCATCTGTTTGTTCACCATATTTTGCATATAATGGTACATAGATTGTTTTATGTGCTTCAATATAATTCAATCTTTTTTCATTCCATAAAGAATAAAGTGGTTTATTTGCTTTACGTCCAAGTGGAAAACGATGTGGTTTAGAATTATTCCAATCATTTTCAGCCCATTGCCAATAGGCTTCTGATGGTGAATAGTCATCTGTATTTGTAAATTGTTTATAAACTTTACAAAATTGCCAAGGATTTTCCATATTTTTTTGCAATAAGCATTTTCCCATCTTTATTATTTGGATATAATTCAATTAGACCTAGAAAAAAATGGACTAAATTCTAACCATCATTTTTCTCTTGTTGTTGGCTTAACATTATAAACAAGCCAATTTCATTAGTGAAACATTCTGGTTTAGGACGACGTATAGCAAATATTCGTAGATGATCTAATGATAATAGTGATGATAAATGACGATTTTGTTGAGAATGAATTGAATCGCTAAGATTTATTTTTTTTTGTTTGTTTAGATTTTTTATCAGAAAATGAATTTTTACGGTTTATTGGTAGTGAAGATGCCATCTTATATGTTTTGTTTGCAATGATTAGTAGAATTTTATGTCGGTTAAGCAGCAGTGTTATTACAAAAAACAACAGAAAAGAGAGTAAGAGGAAAGAAAATAACGTGAATAATAATGTATATCGACCTTTTAAGAAGAAAAAACAGCAAAAGCACATGGTGATGTTTTTATTTGCTGATCAAAATGAACGAATCAAACAATTACATTAAATGTTATTTAATTGATTCCACATTAGACAAGCCCTTAAATCCACTCAGAATCACTGTCAGTTTATCCTACATGCATGTGGATCAGTTTCAACACTATTGTTAGCTAGCTCCATCTTTTGTTCGTTTTCTTCTTTTATAAACCGAGATTTTTCTATCTTCAATCTGCATGCAAATGCCATTTTTTCAAGAATAGTAATTGAAAGTAAATAACGAGTGTAGCTTTAGCCTTAAAATTACAAATAAAAATACTATCTTGTTGAAAGACATTCAAGAATATATAGAAAAGACAATGTGATTTAATCATGAATCTTATTTAGAACTCTTTACATTCTTTATGATAAAAAAAAATTGTTATAAATATTACAAGGTTCTGATTGTTTTTCATGCAACTACTAACAGTCACCACTATCAATAGTTTTTTTATTTCTAACTTATTCAAAAAAGAATCCTCACCCATTTTGAACCATTGAAATATTCTGTAGCGAATTATCAAATTCATTACTTTTATTTCAAAAAATAATCTCGAACGAAAATGAGAAGAATTGAGTTAGTTTAACATGAATTATCAGTATTTAACGATATACATATATATAATTCATACTGATCGAGTAACTAGGTTAATGAATTAAATCATAGTTTAGACATCTCTAAGTCAGAGAAAAATCAATGCAAATGTAGGTGTAAAAAACCAGGGAATAATATAATGAAAAGCAACAATGGCTTATATTTTTTGAATAAATAAAATGAAGAAATGATATACTCTTTTTCATGATTTTATCTACGGTCAATTAATTCAATTGATTGTTTTGATTATTATCTTCAACTGTCATCCAACCATACATACTATAACTATTCATAATATAGTATATAACTATTATTCTCTAATACATATAGAATTTCTCAAGAATAATTTCTCAATCAATTAAAAGTATAAATCATTTTGTTTGGCAAGACGGATAGAATCATTTAAAACATCGACTAAAACACGGAAACATGTAGATGTGACATCTTTTCCAAAACTATAAATAAGCATTAGTTCATTTTTTTTGTTAGACTTGACGAACCATATGAATATTTTTTTCAAAGAGAAACATTTGTTATCAACTGGTTGAACATCAGACACTTGATTTCACATATTATTCGCTAAGTCAACACAAACTTTCGGTATGAAGAGCCATCGAAATGCATATGCAATAAATCGCCATTACATTCCAGTATATATACCATAGAGATAATTTGCTTCATTGGAAATATAACTATCATTTCCATTTGAATAGGCTTATATGCTACTTGATACTAAATCAACTATAGTATCGTATGATACTAATGTTGAATTAACAAATGTGCTTGTAATTACTATTAAAGTTTTCACAAACAGTATAAAATAAAACCATATCTTACGACTTGAATACATTCAGAGAAGCTGATTGCTTTTCAATTACTTTTGCATAGGATTTCATCGATTTTAAATTAAACAGATTCAAAAATGAAGTCCTAGATAATATCGAAAGTTTGAATTCATATTGTCTGTTTTACTTGACTAATATTTCAAAAAAGTCTATTTCTGACTTTTGCAAAAAAAGAATAAAACTTCTAATAGACTTTCACTTATGATATACTGTCTTGATCAAGTATATCAACGATTTATATTCTCATGGAATTAATTTTAGTTCCTTGCTTTAGTCTTTTTCACGTCTCCGTGCAAATTTTCGATGAAAGTTTATATGAGAATTGTATGTATAAGAACGACTACAATATTTACTAGAATTACCCATGAGGAGAAGGACCTTGATTTTGATAACCTCACTTTATTGTGATACAAGTGAATTGAATCAACTCATGTTTCTGTAGATCATTGGGTCCAAGAGCTTCAGTTTTTCTACATGTATGCAATATTTCACGATGATTAGCTATTTGATGAAGAACTATTGAAGTTCGTGATATTCATGAAATGACCAATGGAGAAAAATATATGACCTTTCTTCAAATTATAAATGGAAATAAACATTCATGAAAAGCATAATTATAAGTGCGAGTTTTGTCGATGAAAACTAGTACGATCAATTGATCTTAAACGTAAATATACGACTATGACAGCAGTACAGCAAGAAAAAATGTAGAGATAAGAAAAATTCCTATAATCGCTATTCTTCATATTATTCCATCGCCATACATATGAGAAATTCACAAACCAAAAATAATTTGTCAAGATATATGAATATTGGGTTCAAGAACACAGTGGCGAGAAAGATTAAAGAGTATTTCATACATTTCGAGCTCATTTTTATTTTGCTTTTTCTTCTTGTTATATTTAAGGTAAAGATATCATCCCATATAAATTGAGTAGAATTTCCATGATCTTAGAAAAAGTATTACGTTGATAAAGATATTTGAAAAAAAACCTGATTGACATCATGCTTTGGAATGCTACAGAATTTCGTTTTCTTTGTCTTAACTAGGTCATATTTCTATGAAGACAAAAGAAAACTGTTCAAAATTTTTAGTGCAACGAGACCCTATTTGGATTTACTATCCATAAAAATTGCATTAGTTTTGATCCTCCTAATCATTGATTTCAGGTTTTTGAGATTCTCTAATCCTCATTATGTAGATACCAAAATTTTCACTGCTTCGAGGATAAATTTTTTGTAGTAGAAAAAAAATGAATGAGTTTTTTTTATGAATAGTAGATCCAAATGGACTCTTCTTGCACTAAAAATTTTGGACAATATCACTTTTTGCTTCACAAAAGTATGACCTAGTTAAGACAAACAAGATGAGATTCTGTAACATTTCAAAACATAATTCCGAACAAGTGTTTTTTTCAATATCTTTATTATTGTAGTACCTTTTTTGAGATTATGCAAATTCGACTCGATTGATATTGGATGATAGTTTATATACTACTGTTCAAAAATATACAGATCCTGACTCTTTACTTTAAAATATAACAAGGATAAAAAAGAAAATGAAAAAGGGGTCGAAACTTATGAAAAGTCCTTTATTTTCCATCTAAACAATCATGTCATTCAGAGCTTTTGGTTTGAGCTTGAAGTCTGGAGATGTTGAGAGTCAGACATGATCACGATTGGGCTTTACTGGTGAATGTTGAATCATATTTTAAAAATTTGGTCATCTTACCTTTATTTGTAGGCAAAATCAATGTAATATTCGTCATCAATGTCAAAACACTTACGAGAGAACATATTTAAGTGCCCCTCTTGAGAAAAAATTTAAAATTATTCTATTCGATAAAGATCATAATGAATATGTCTAATATCAATGTCTTAGCTGTCCCTCACCTAGATATGAAAATCTGAGAGCAAACGATGATTGTTTTGATTGAATTTGAAAATTACAAGGGTTTTAAGATTATTATTCTACTTAAGCGTCATTTATTGGTATTTTTCTCGTATCCTAGAAAATGTTTTATGCCGCAATACATGCACAAAAATAGTCTAGATCTAGATGATATTCATCGCTAATTTGTCCAAATTTTAAACTTTCATTGTGGATCAGATAAATAAAAAATGCTTCACATATGTGGAAAAAAAAATTGCTTCGTTATCCGTTCCTCTTCTTTATTTTGGTACATATGTCTTACTAATTTTCTTTGTGAAATTGTTGATCATTAATTTTGACTCATTTTCTTTTTGTTTTCCTGTATTAAGAAATGTATCACAGAATAATTCTTACATAAAAGCCTCTTACTTCATATTCAAATTTCGCTGATACAAAAAAACACATTTTTGATTTTTCAGTCAAACAAGTCTGACCACTTCATTACCAATTATTTTGCCAATATATGGCATTAACTATTAGGATAAGTATAATTTCAATGATAAGGTCATTGAATTATTTGTTCAAGCATTTTCAACAAGAAAAGATAGATCAAACATTAGATTCAATTCTTTTCTGGAACATGTTTCCTCTAAAATGATGCTAGATGTGAATCATGATATAACAGTGTTACATGTACTAGAGAGATATTGCAAATTTTGAAAATAGTATACAGAAACAAACTACTGTTAGCAACATCAGCCATGATTTTTGATAGAAAAACATTTTACGTCAACGTTTCTCGAAATACTTATATATAAAAGTAGTAACAGAAATACCCGGTGTTACCTGGAAAGGTTCACGCTTGATATATGGAAATCATAATCAATTGTGCTTGGAAAGATCTGAAAAAAAACTCTAATTAGTAGGTAGTAGATATATAAGGTTCCGGAAATGCAAAATTAAAGCAGAATTTTTTTTTCTTTTCTTTATATATGGTTAGATAGAGCTCGACGAGCTGATCAAGAATATGGGTGTTTTTATTTTTTTCGCGTGAGTTTTTAGGGATGACCTAATATGTCAAAAAAAAAAAAAAAAAAAATTTTTAATAACCGACTAGGTTTTGATTTTTTTT